GTTCTGGACTGACTAGCCTCATCTTCACGTGGAAACAACAAAAGGATTATTACATGTGTGAGAGGCTAGTTAGTCCAGAACAATAGCAATTCAAATTGCACGCCATATTTGCATTCGGTGTATGGTAATGAGAATAAAGGAAATGATCACCAATTAAAGAAACTCTTGATTGTCAGACAATTTTTCCAAGTTGGTACAATAGCAAATGTTTATATGTAGAACAGTATGGAAATAATATGCATTGAAATCAGAGTGTAAAGGGTTAAGTATCAGACTTGGCAAGATTTCCGTATAACCCTATACTCGAATCAAAAGGCGTTTGTTCGAAATGTTATAATTTTTCGTGTTTGGATAGCTCACTATCACCTTTCAGCAAATATCAGTTCACAAACCTCTTGATACATTGAAGTCGAGTACAAAGTTGAATGTCTTGGCAAGAGTACCATATAACCCCATACATTAATTATGCATTCAGTCTTTGCTCAATGAAAACGCGATAACAATAGAACTCCGCAGAGACTGGTAGTCTTTGTTTTTCAAAATTTGGATTTTTTTTTTTATATCTTTTTTGAAACAGGGTAATATCAGCGCGTTTTGGCTTTGCAAAACGAGAAATTTAAGGCATTTTCGAGAGGTTTTTAATTTTGAAATATAATTTAATGTTCAGTTTGGCTTTGAAAGCGTAAAATTGGCCGGAAAATAACGTTAAGTCTACGGTCAGGCTTTGAAGTTTGTCAATTCAAAGTTCAAATAAATGTTGTCTTACCTGTTCTTGTGGTTTTGATAGATTCTCTCACTATCCTTTCGTGTCCTAGTGATGAAAATTGTTCGTGAAGGCCGGTGCATACAGCGATGCAAAGAAACCTTTGTATCTAGTCTTTCTGGACTTTCATAAAGTTGGGCGATATGTTCGATAATGTTTCCAAAAGGTTGGTTTTCTTGTTGTTTTTGGAAGCTTCGAAAAAATGGGGTGAGCTGCAAATGGAATGTACCCGAACAAGCCACACCTGTACGTATCAGTCCCTACCACAGACTAATGAGAGCGAGTAACATGGTTCTTGTGAGTTGAAACGGGTCAACCGGGTATCCTGTGCAAACGCAGGCCTGCTTTCCATCCTAATGGTTACTTGCTCGGTGTGTACAACCACCCCCCCCGTCCTAAGGTATTTTTCTTTTGGGGGTGGGGGTTGGTTACATCGTTCCGTCGAGGACGACCGGAAGTGCAGAGAGCAACGAGTCTATTTTTATCTCATCGAGAGGTTACCAAGTAACTTCGTCACTTCTTAATATGGCGGACAGCTCTCGAAGGAAGACGTAACTTTGTCGTCTCACTTACCTTTTCTTCAACGGGATAAGGAGCCGAACACTCGTAGTTTACATATTAACATGGCGTTAGTGAAAAGGGGGGATCAGTTAAGTGTTAGTATAGTGCAACAGTCTCCCACAGAATCGAAAGGAAAACGTCATGTCAAAGTACTCGACGAAGAAACTTACGTTCAGGTAAGCGTTTTCAAAAGAGTTTAGATCGTAAGATTACTTGTCTGAATCATAAGGAAAAAAGTAAAAGTGAAGTTTTTGACTGCCTGATATGATAATCTGCCCAGTACATGTGTTTATTGGTTATTTTTACTTAATATATCTCTGCGTCGCAAGTTCACTTGAAGATTAATTTATAGATGGTTATGTTGAGTATATTTATAAATGTTTTACGTTGATTGCTACAGAATGTCTCTCTTGGGGCCTTATTTTGAAAGTGCTAGTAATTATGACTCGCCAAAGAAAATTGAGTTTGTTGGTTATGTTTACAAAACTGAGTTTGTTGGTTATGTTTACATTCGTGAGCGAGACATCGATAGGTTTGACGTTGAAACATAAAAAGATATCAGGAAATAAAACAGAGTGCATTGTTTCTTTTTTTTTTTCAGCCACGACCCATACTTTATTTCTAAGTGCCTCTAAATTTTATTGGGGTGAAAATGTTTCTGTATATCGTGGTACTACTTTAAGGCAAAGCTTTAGGCCTAATCTATTATTTTTGTCATAGTTTGCTTTTATCAAATAACTTTATGCATGATGAAGTGTGGAGCATATGGAAATCTTACCACTGAGACATTTGAGAAATGGGTAGTTTAATCAGTCTTAGCACATGACGTATTTAAATTTTACACAGTCAAATAAGTTTTCAATCAATTGAGTATGAGTTAATGCATTTTGGATATGTAAAAAGCCAAATTTTTCTCTTTACAGTCTTTGAACAAAATCATACAACGGGACTTCTTCCCTGAGCTTCCAAAACTCAGAGCACAGCATGAGTACCTTGATGCTGTTGAACATAATGATGTGGAGAAGTTACGTGAAATATCAGCCAGATATCAAGTTACACAAACACCAGGTGGTACTCTGGGTGAGTAGACATGAAAATACTGAAGATGACTTCATTTTTTTCAACTATTTTTTTTGTCTGTGTTTGATGTTATAATGCATGTTTTGTTTAAGGATTGCATGAACTATTTTTGAGCATCAAGATGGTTTTATCAACTGGGTTGATAATGTAAAGAGTTCTAGGGCTGATATTTCAGGGGTTAGCCCTTTCTCAAAGTGAATAGGAATCACAATTCCTCTAGTTGCTCGACAAAGGGCTGACACTGGGAACGTCAGCTTTAGGAAGGTTGTTTCTTTTTGCCTTCAGCTACACCAGCTACATTTGACACTCCCAGTACAATTCAAGGAACACCAGCACCCTCTGGTACAATGACGTCAGATAACAGAGACGCCAGTGGTGCTCCAATGGGAAATCACTCGGAAGGTGACAAGTCAGAGAGTAAGAACCAGGATTCTGACTTATCACTAGACAAGTTTCTGGTAAAAAACACCAGCGAAGATAATGCTTCTTTTGAACAAATCATGGACAGTGCTGCCCAGAAACATCAAGAAAAATATAAGTGGTTATACGAGAAAGAACTAGAACAGAAAGAGAGGAGAGAGAAAACACTTGCTTTACCAGCTCCTGAGGATGGTGATCAATTCAAAAATGAGGACAGACCATCGATGGTTGAGACATGGAAATACACCAACAAAAATGCTCTTATGTACTATCCTGATGGGGTTGAGCTTTCTGCTACTGAGAAAATAGAGGGAAAATTTACTAAAAGACAGCAAATACAACATGAAAATAGTAGATTTAAAAGAGATCCATTTCCAGATGATTCTTGTGATAACAAGTTGGCTGCCGCTGCTGAAGCAGCAAGTCGTTTGGCTGCAAAACAGGGGAAGGTTGGAGTGGATGGGCAGATCCAAGGTGCTGGTGAAACTCCACGGGTCAATGGCTATGGTTTTGTTGCTACACCCTCGCCTGCTCCAGGTAATTAAATTTCTTTGTTTTAATTCTGTTTTTTAAGGAAGTAAGGTATTCTTGGC